AATTCTCAGAATGTGTATAAGATATAACGAATAATATTTTACCGCTAGCTTCGGATGATTCTTCTTCCGAAGAACTATCGGTCAACAGGACACCTTCACCTCTGGCATAATTCACAGTAAGATCCTTTAGTTTCTCCTTAATTTCATTTGTAAGTCTACCGTTTTCATCTTTCCTCTTTTTACGCAGCTGCTTATCATTTTTATCTAGTTCTATTTTAGAAAGTTCTTTCTGGGTAGATTCATCCTCGCTGTCTGAGGTTTCACTAGTAGATTCTTCCTCGTCGGGGGATTCCTCTGTTTTTATTCCAGACAAATCTTCCCTGCTCGACAGGGAATCATCCTTGCTCTTCTCATTTTCGTTCTTCTCGTCTGAGGAATCCTTTACAGAGTCGATCTTCGATTCGGTTTCCTTCGCTGACTTCTTCTTGTCCCTCCTTTTCTCCTTGATATCCTTCACCTTTTGCTCGCTGTCTTTCTTGCTTGTGGACGGCACAGACGCATCCTCGTCTTCGCTGCTCGACAGATCGTAAAATTTCCTAAGATCCTCGGTGGTGGTTCGATTGACGGGTCTGCCGCGTTTATCAATGGTATATTTCACGGCGAACTTTTCATCCTTAAACATGCCCTTAAATCGATGATCGATCTTCACTTTCCTCTCAGCTTTGGGAATGCGACGAAACTTGGGATCCCTCGCGATATGCGCGAAACGCGCGTCTCTCAGCATCTCGTCCATTATTGCTGATAATTATTCGTCACTGTACTGAGCTACAGACGCAATAATTTCAATTTTGAAATTTTATATACAGAAACGTTGTTTTATATACAGAAAAATTGCATTCTGTGTGTCACACATGCTACACGTGTCCTCGACATTTAAAGACAGGTTAGATTAAACAAGGCAAGGATCAGCTAGGTTATTTTCATCACAGAAAAAAGAACGACCGTGAGAAGTATTCCATGCTTGATTTTAGATTCGCGTACACTAAGCGCTATCTTGTGTCTAATTTTGAAATTTTTGTATTAATAGAATTGTTTTTTTCTGTTTTGCTAATTGCGCACCTGTATTGGTCTGCACTTATCTTAACACAATGCATTTTTCAGGTTTTGATAAAAAGAAAGTTCTGGGGGTCGATTACGGTTCTTGAAACGAAGTGAAAATTACAAAAGTGAACAGATTTACTAGATTTTGACCAATAAAATCATAGATACCCTAGTGAATTTCCTCACTTTTGTAACTTTCACCTCGTTTCAAGAACCGTAATAAGCCCCCTGAAAGGAATGAGAAAAATACCGAGTTGTACTGGAATAATTTTACAATAAATATCTAAAGCAGCTAAAAGGAATGAATAAATTACGATAAGAATTAATAAAATGCAGTTATTTTTGCAGATCAATTTATATTATTTATATATAAATTGTACATTTATAATTATTACATGGCATTTCTAGAATTTTTTCATATTTTTTACTAATGAAAATATGAATATAGTTTTATTATATAGTTTTATTAATACAATATTCAAGAATATTGTTTAATCATCATTATTAAATACAAATATACAATAAATACTATCAACGCTGGTTTCCAATAAAATATACAAACGTATTATATCTTAGGATAAAATATAAATAACATTTTACAAATTGTGTTCATCTTGGTGTCCCTATATTTACATATCAATCTTACAATAAATGATTCTAAATAGCTTTGCAATCTATGATTTTTCTCATGAGCATTGGCCGCGTTCAGGAAACACAACTGTTGAGTGAGCGCTCATTATGATTGGTTCTTA